TTTAGTACAACATTTCATTCACAGACGGATGGTCAGGTAGAGCGTACCATTCACACCTTAGAGGACATGTTGAGAGCTTGCATGATTGATTCAAGAGTAATTGGTATAATCAACTACCTCTCATAGAGTTCGCCTATAATAATAACATCCATTCCAGTGTTCAGATGGCCCCACATGAGGCACTATATGGGAGTAGATGCAGGTTCCCGATTGGTTGGTTTGAAGTAGGTGAAGCCACCTTGATTGGGCGAGATTTGGTTCATGAGTCTATGGAGAAATTTTAGTTCATAAAATATAGACTAAAGACAACCTAGAGTCGTCAGAAGTCCTATGTAGATTTGAGAAAGGACTTAGAGTTTGAGATCAATGATTGGGTTTTCCTGAAGGTGTCACTTATGAAGGGGGTGATGATATTTGGCAAGAAAGGAAAGCTCAGTCCCAGATATGTAGGTCCTTACAAAATCCTAAAAAGGGTAGGTAATGTGGCTTATGAGTTAGAGTTGCCAGTAGAACTAGCAGCGGTTCATCTAGTATTTCACAGTTCCTTGTTGAAGAAGTGTGTGAGTGATCCGACATCAATAGTACCATTAGAGAGTGTGGCTGGGAAGGATAGCCTCACTTATTGAGAAGTGCTAGTTGAAATTCTTGACCGTTAGGTTTGTAGGTTGAGAAATAAGGAAGTCACTTCAGTAAAGGTTTTGTGGAGGAGCTAGTCCGTAAAGAGAGCTACTTGGGAAGCAGAAGCAACCATGATGGCCAAGTATCCTCACCTCTTTCCTTCCGATTCCATTTCAGCTTCAGGTAATAGTTCCTCTACAGTCTCTCAATTTACTCTTGTGAAAATCAGTCTCAGTACTTTGTTTCCTCGTTTATCCTTGCATTTCAGCATATTTGCATGTTTATGGAACTCATTTAAGTTAGATATCAATTTCTAGTACTTGGTGGTAAGGATTTCAGCTCCTTCTCTCCATACTCAACTTGTTTAGACTACATTTGAGGACGAATGACCCCAAGGGGGAAATTATGTAACACCTCAAAAATCAAAACTCAGATTGAACAATAGAGAAGGGCAAACCATAGAGGGGGTCTACGTGTCTTGAAGAGGACCACGACCCGTCACCCTGCTCATGGTTATGCACCCAGGAAAATGTGCAATACCATGGACCACTAAACAGTCCGTGGAGCTCCAAATGATTCGGAAGTGACCCGTGAGGGGGAAACATAAAAAAATAGCTACTGTGAAGTACCAAGGACCACTAGACGGTTCGTGGAAATTCACACGAGCCTTGAGGTTCCTCGTGAAAGAGGCTTGATAGACTTTGAGGTTTGGGTCAACTTCAAACTATCATATATTTCAGTACAAAATGAATTAGGTGGCCTACAACCTATCAAAGTAAAGGTCTTTAAGTCCTCTTTCCAACACCACCAAGTTTGCCTAATTTTGATCATGGAGGAAAAAGTTATGCTCGTTTTAGTGAAGCCTTGTCGGGCAGAGCATCTTCACGACCCACTTGACGGGCTGTGGTGCTCATGACAGCCTGTGAAGCATGTCTTGAAGTCAAATCGTCATCGTTTAAGTGAGGTTTCACCCCCCAAGTCACTAGTTAAGAACCACGGATGTCTAAACGGTCTGTAGAGCTCCACACGGACCGTGAAGTCATTCGTGAAGTCTTTCATAAAAAAATTAATTAGGTGGACCATGACCTATCAAATTAAATATAATTGAGTCCTCTTTCGAACGCAAGAATGTTTGCTAAAATCCAAGCTCAAAGTAAAAAGTTATGCCCAGTTCTTCACGAGCTTCTTGACAGGCCTTGGTCATCATGACGGCCCGTGAAGCCTGTCTTGAAGCCATTTCAGCAGAATTTAAGGCAGGGTCACATTAGTCTTTTCCCCTATTCGTTGGGCACTTAAACCACATCGTTTAATGTTTAAACTACACCGTTTTACTCAGTCTAAGCTTAGTAAACTAGTCAAAAACTACCTAAAACCTTCATTCTCCTAAAATCATCTAGATTAGAACGAGAAAAAGAGAAAGAGGCGTCAATTTCTTTCAAGAACAAGCAGCAGTGTTTTTCAAGTTTTAGCCCCAAAATCAAAAGGATTTCTCTGTAGATTCTGTCACCAAGTATGTGGGATTTCACTAGTGGATTCCATTCATCTACTAGGTCCCAAGAATTCAGTCAGTTTCTTGTTTCTCCATATCTTGTTTAGACTTAGGGCTTCTAAACCTTCAAAATTTGTTGTGATTTAGCTGTTGTAGTATCCTTAATCGAAATAACATATTTTTTGGAAATTTTCCATAATTCACTATATCAAACTCAGAACCCTAGTTTGTGTAAATTTCTTAGTTTATGAATTACACTTCCTAGGTTAGTTAAACAGAAAATCGTGCTTCAGATTTCGAATGTCACATTCTCAGTACATAAATGTTACATTATCAGTTAACATATCTATATTTTTAGCTATTCAGTATTTAGTGCATTTTAGCATAAGATGTATTCAGTTGTGTGTAGACATAACAATAAGTTGGACTAGGGTTCATCGTACCCTCATAGTACCAGAACTACATGCGCGCGTAGGATTATAAGTCCCCTCTGTTGGGCATCAAATTTAGTGATCACGCCAGTCACACCTTTACACCCCTGGCAAGGTTTATTGGGTCCTCTCGATGGGGTGTATTGTCACGACCCTAAACTTGACCTTGTTCGTGTTCTTCAATGAAGTTTTAGAGAGAGAAATATTTGGAGAGGAGGTGGTTTCTATTTTGTGCTTTGGGGATTATGAAGTGTGAAATGGTAAATTAATAGTTTAAAAACCCTTGTATAGGTCTAAATAATCTAAATAAACCGACTTCACCTCGTAAACCCTAACCTATCAATTTACAACTATGCCCCTCACTTAGTTTAGGGCAGATTGCAGGTCTGATTCACGCCCACCTGACCCACGGATCGTAAGTGGACTCACGCCCCGTCCTGTAGGTCTGTGGGTGGTGGCAGCAACTCACTTTTTCAGGCCTTGACACACGAAGTGTGGATGGACCTATGCCCCGTAGGTCCCATCCTTAGGTCTCAACCTTTAGTTAACTTGGGCAGTTTTGGGGGTTAGGCTTTAGGGTCCTCCTCAAGGACCCCTTGGTTGGTCCTTGGGGAGTCGTACCTTGGCGTTTAACCCCTAAATCCCTTAACCTAAGCTCGGGGAACCATTTTACAACATAAAACCCCACATCAAACTCAACAACACACTCGTAAGGCTCTAGTTTCACCTACTAGTTTTCCGAGGTGTTACATTATCTCCCCCTTGGGAACATTCATCCTCGAATGACATTTCTAAACACCTCACGGAATTAGAGACTCACGACTAGCAGCCCATCATGCATGAAACATCAAAATGCACATGAACAAGGAGGAAACTTCAACTCCAACTAAACACACTCAATGTAACACAAGGAAATAGGAACTACATGTAACAACCCATTCATGCATGAGATTCCCATAACTAGTCATGTTCAAGAAGGAATTACCATCTTCTCCTAGTCATAACATGCTCAACATATTCTCATGGAGATCATATGCATTTTATTCTCAAAAAGCATTTTATTCAAGGAGGAATATCTCAACTCCGAACTAAAGCATGTTCATACATTCTTCTCATGAAGTACATTTGACAACTCATATTCAAAGCACTACAAAATGAGGAAAACAATTCACATAAACTCATTTTCTTCCTAAACACAAGTTTTCATGAACGTGCATTATATAAGAAAATCATGGCAACACATAAACACACAATAACCTTGTTAGCTAGGCACACAATCTTCCCCTTGGGAGTAGGCCTATACAAACTCTCCTAAACATCATATATCGCATAACCATAGTAGGAACTACCTTTTCCAACTAAAAGCAAGCTCAACACAACATTATGGAGCGAATAAGCCATTTTATAAAAAGCATACAAAACATGTTCATCAAATCATCTCATGAAGTCAAATATGTCATCATCATACTAAGATGCACAACAATAACATAAGGAGATCATGGAAGTCTTCTAAAACACATATGACTCCCAAAGCATAAAAAAATCTAAAAAGGAACTCTTGGTCTCAAGTTAGAATAGGAATAGAAGAAATGGATGAGGATATCGGGACTCTCAATCAATCTTTCTATCTAAGCATATCATTCTCCCCCTTGGGAGTAAGCCCCTTACTAAGACCTCAAATAATACTCCTTTCAAACCATCCCAAAGCATCATCAAAACTCATTATAACCTTACCGGGTTCTAAAACCAATAGAGGTCTAACAACTATGCATCCAAACCCTACCAAGGTTAACAAGAGTAACTCTATGGGACAAGGAAAATCATGAGACACACATAACATCCAAGACTCCACAATTATGAAAGGAGTCAAGGAGGACTTATCATCTTAAGATAGAGGAGGAATAAAAGGGAATATAAGGATATTGGGACATCTCATTGGCCCTTGGCCTCCCAAATAGCACCCTCAACTAAAATACTTACTAAAATACCACTCCTCAACATTATCATGGAAGCATTTCCTTACTCTTTTATTTCTTAACTTGTCGGTCTAAGATTCCAATTAGTACTTCTAAATTAGAGAGGTTCTCATGTAACTCTATCTCACAAGCAACCTTACCAACACCACTCAAAGTTTCATATGAGCCTACCAAACCGGGACTAAACTTCTGAAGCTCACTACACCTCTTAAGGTGAGAATTTTAAGCCAATCCAAATCATGGACATATAGAACACTCAACTTTTCACATCCATCACATGAGGTGATTATAAACAATGGAGAATTACACTTCTATCCTCTTTTAAAGGAGTCTACTCAGTCAACATCTCTAGGCATCACTTAAACATCAGTATTCATCAAATTCTCCAACACATTATAAAACTCATTATGGCTAAGTTGGATTCTACCAACATACACACATAACCATAATCAAACCCATGTATGCTAAGGACAACACAAAAGCTCATCATGTCCAATTTATCAAGTCACAAAAGACAAGCACTACCAGAATAAAAGTAAGCATGAAACACATACCGGTAGCAACATTAGGAGGACACTCTTGTTCACCTCTAGCTTGAAGAGCATCAGACCTACTTTTCTTCCGTTCTCTTCCCCTAGTGGTAAGTACTGGGCAATCTCTTATTTTGTGGTCACCTCTACCACAACAATAATAACCTTCCATACCGGCTAAACACCTACCATAATTATTCCTTCCATATATTTTGCAAGTAGGCTTAAGTAACACCGATTCACTATTGCTTCCTGTTTTAGGCTTAGGGTTGGACACCCTCTCCCCACTGAACTTTGGGAGAAACTTAGAAAAATCTTGTCCAAAGGACCTCTCAAGAGAAGATTTTTCATCCTCAATCCTCAATCTCTTTCTTTCCCTCAACCCTTCTTCAAGTTTCTCTTTCTCAATTTGGAGAGAAAAAAATCCAAGGTGGGAAGTATTCATATCATAATAAAGCATAGCCATACGCCATTTTTTCCCACTAGATAGGACAAACCCAACACAAACTTACTCATTTCCGACCTAGGGTCGGACACTTAAATTGGAACATACCTAGACAATTGGTTGAACCTTAAGGCATATTCCTCAACATTCATATCACCTTGTATAAGGTTAATGAACTCAAGCACCAAATATTCTCTCATCTCTAGAGGGAAGAACCTATCTATGAAAGCAATCTTGAACTCTTCCCACTCTATGGGACCTTTTCTTACCGGTCTAGCCTCTTTCCACTTACTAAACAAAACTTGAGCAGCCCCCTTGAGTTGATAAGAAGCTAACTCCGCCTTCTCTACGAGACTTCATCTCTTGATGACCCTCTCCCTCTTTGGAGCCATTAAATTCCGGAGGGTTCATCCTCCTAAAATCTCTCACTCTCAAAATAGCCCTAGTCTTTACAGAGTTCACTGGAGCTACCACCACCCGACTCAAATGATCCGTCATAACTTGAGACAACATTAGAAAAACCAACCTAACCTTCTCATTATTCACATTCTCCCCTATAGGGACAATTGGAACTTGGGGAGGAGCTTGGAGGGAAATCTCTTGCTCCACATTGTCTTCCTCATTCCTTTCCACATGAGCCCTTGAAGTAGTCATATCCTGAAAACCATAGGGCACATATTAAGAGAAAGACTTTATAAAGCTAAACTCTAGGGCATGACTTAGAGAATGAAGAAGTGAAGTTTTCCTAACATCCGATAGCCTCCTATTCATAAATGTGGCGCGCTTCACATTTATGAACAAGACTCTACTAGACGTGGTTTGAGACATCCTAAAACCATCCCAAAATCTTGTGCTTTGATACCATGTTTGTCACTACTCAAGCCTACCCCCTAGATGTGACACGGCGTACAAAACTCCGAAATGCCACACACAAGCCTCATACCATATCGTAACATAAGAGCATAGGAAAAAGTGCGGAAATTTAAAACTTTTCTTTACAATCGAAGTCTTTTAGAAAATAAGAGGGAGTCTATGACACTATGTCTCAAACCATCTATAACACTTGAATTAAAACTCTTGAATACAATCTTAGGGACATTTCCCTTACAAAGGTCTAAAACATAAAGAAAGACTTAAAGGACATAATGGTCAAGCCCTCGAATACTATTAGGACTCACCGATCTTCTTCTTCTTGATCTACTATGGTCCTAGCCACGAGGGTAGAAGCCGATATCACCAAACCCTACACTTATAGAAAATGTAGAAATATAGGTTAGCATAAAAATGTACTAAGTATGGAAGCCATGCATAAAAATCCTTAAAACATGCAAAAAGGGACATTTTAGTTGAAACCATGCTATATGCCAATTTTGAACATCATCTTTGAAATAGTTGGAGAATGTAGCTCATAAGACAACTTATGTACAATTCATCATAGCCTAGAGGATATCATCATAATCACAAGCATAGTCTCCAACATAAACATAAGACATATCCCAATCTTCACAAGACATAGTTCACACACATAGTTAAATACCAAGATCGTTTCATCATAATAGAACTATCATATAAGTAACCCTAGGTTATACTTGTGAAATGCATAGATAGGATCCCATAATCCTATCTACACTAAGTATCACTTTTAGGCCACCATGCTCATACTTATCATGCTTTAATCTCATCCATATTCAATAAACATAGACAAGGAAACATTCATGTTCATAGCTCATAACAAGTAAAGTCACTATTAGCAACATTCCATATCATACATGCATAAATTCATATATCTTCATAGCATAATGAAACCACATCATAACCCCATTCATGGTCTACTTATGCAATGCATAAGTGAAGTCCCATACCCCCACTCACAATAAGTAGAAGTCATAAGTATAGTTCATGTTCATAATTCATATAAAGCATACATTAACTCATAATCATCATTTCATAAGAGAAACATACCTCGCTCACTCTCAAATCCTACTTGTGCAATGCATGAATGAAGTCTCATACCCCCATTCATACTAAGTAGAACATCTTGAGGAACCATAGTACATAACTCATGTTCTTGTTCATAGTTCATGTTTATTTTTCATGTCATGGTTCATATTCTTGTCATGTAGGGAAATTTCCTTAACCGACATAGACCATGTTGAGCTACATGGAATCCGATGTCATTCCCCCACACCAAAAGAGGTGTCCTACTTTCCTAAGGTAGAACTAGTTTATTCTCTTAAGTGGATCCACTAGCTAAAGACCTATGTGTGCACATAGTTATGGGATAAGGAGATTGATACTAGAAACCTGGACTGACTGAGATAAAATATTTCCATTTCATGAGATAACTGTTTTGGGAAGCCAGACTAACTGGCGTAAAAAGAACCCATTGGGAAGTCGGACTAACTAGCATAAAAGCTTCCATCTCACTTTCATATCCACTCGGTGCTAAGCATAATTCCTTTTAAGTTCATGTTAAGTCTTGACTTAAGTTCATGTTTATGGAAGGGTGACTTAATTTAATCCAATACAACATCATGATATATCTTATATATTCATTAGGTGAGAATGACCTTTCAACCTTATAATCATTAATATGTGAGTAAACCTTTCACATCATATTCATAGTGTGTTCATGAGAATAGCCTTTCAATCAACACAACAACATCATCATAGTCCTAGATATTTCATGCATAGTCATGTGTAAGGGTATGGGGAGAATGATCTTTCAACAATACCACAATTACACAATAGTCATAGGATCTTCACTTTCTAAGTGAATCATGAGCTCATACACAATTCTTATCAACATGTACAAACCCTCATAATTTTCCCTTCAAGGGCTATGAATCAACTCAACCCAAACATCTAGAATTACTACATTAGATAAGGGGAATATCATGATTCAATAACTCAATCAACACCTTAGTCACATCATAGTCATGTTCATGCATGGGGTGTGAGTGTGTGTGTGATTGTCCTTTCAATGACACAATAACAACATTATCATCATAGACACTTCACTCTCAAAGTGTTCATAAAACATGCACATAATATCATAATTATTAATACCCCTCATATCTTGCATTAAAGGATCATGTTAAGTCAACATATCTAGCATTCACCACATGAGACATAAATATAGACATAACTTTAGTACATTATTCATTCCATGCATAAACTCATATACTCATATTATAGGCTATGTAAATGAAGTCCTTTAACAATAATGCCATATACAATTCAACATACATAATATCTTCCTTCTTTAAGCCTTAACATCCTTAACTTATTCATATTAGATTTTACCATAAAGCCCTAGAAGTCATCCTCATGCTACAAGCCTTACTCTCAAGAAATACCTCACATGATCATTATTTATACCTAATTCTCAAGGTAATCCAACTACATGCTAAATTATTAATCAATTATAATCATATGGCATCATATAAAATCAATCAATATAGACATAATCTATTCATGTACTTCCTTAATCAGTCAACCCACATCATAATTTCACAACTTGGTAAATATGGGGGATTAATGGGTTCATGGAGGGATTTAATCATAAATCAACAATAAATAATCAATTCAATCATAATCCATTATAAATCAATCATTTAAAATGTTTTGAAAGAGAACCCATGACTTAGATTGAAACCATAGCTTTTGGGGGAAATTGGAAGCTTTGAAATCAAGTTTTAAAGGGACTCTATGGGTGAAGGCTACCCATAGATGAAAAGCCACCATACCTTATGAAGATTTCCTCACGAAATTGAAGAGAAAGGCTGCTCCTTGAATCCTAAACTTGACCTTGTTCTTTTTCTTCAATGAAGTTTTAGAGAGAAAATATTTGGAGAGGAGGTGGTTTCTATTTTGTGCTTTGGGAATTATGAAGTGTAAAAGGGTAAATTAATAGTTTTAAATACCTTATATAGGTCTAAATAATCTAAATAAACCGACTTGACCTCCTAATAATTAACCTATGAATTTACCATCATGCCCCTCACTTGGCCGAGCTTGGGGCAGATTGCAGGTGTGATTCACGCCCACCTGACCCACAGACCGTCAGTGGACTCACGCCCCGTCCTGCTGGTTTGTGGGTGGTGGGTGTAACTCACTTTTCTAGGCCTTGACCCATGAGGCACCCCCACGAGGGGTGGATGGACCTATGCCCCGTAGGTCCCATCAGTAGGTCTTAACCTTTTGGCAGCTTGGGCAGTTTTGGGGAGCTTTGGCGGTTAGCCTTTAGGGTCCTCCTCAAGGACCCCTTGGTCGGTCCTTGGTGAGTCGTACCTTGACGTTTAACTCCAAAACCCCTCAACCTAAGCCGGAGAACCATTTTACAACATAAAACCCCACATCAAACTCAACAACACACTCGTAAGGCTCTAGTTTCACCTACTAGTTTTCCGAGGTATTACACATATACATCAGACTCCATGTTTAGCTCACTTGGTGTATGTTGGTTAATAGTAGCTCCCACAGTCAGACTCTTAGTTCATTTGACCACGTTTTCAGCATTTATATCGGTATACAGTTCAATATGTTATCTTCATGATTTGTACTTAGTTATTGCATTCAGTTTAGTTTTTCAGTTATATTTCAGTATCTATATCTCTGCCCAGATTCCATCATTGCTCAGTTATATATTGTTCAATTTATATATCATTTATTCAGCTTAGTATCTATATCACGCATGCTCAATACATTCCAAGTACTAACGCATACTCTGCTACATCCTTTCATGTTGTAGGTTCAAGTACTCAGCATCCAAATCACGCTTAAATCGATTCTCAGTCCATATTCAACAGCTTCAGTGGTGCGTCCTCATATTCCTAGGACAACAAACAAGGTTTCATTTTAGTCTTTGCTTTCAATTTTCATTTTTGTTAGAGTTAGCTGGGGCATGTCCCAACAACTCAACTCAGTTAGAGGCTTTTCAGACATAGTAGTAGATTCAGCTTGAGTTGTTAAGTGGTTGTTTCAGTTATCACCAAACTCTTAGTATGTTTTATATATTCAGACTAGTGGGTTTTTCCCCACTTCATATACCCATTGTTTTTACTTCCGTATAGTACATGTTTTATTCAGTGACCTTTATAGTATGCTTATGATATGCCAGACACATGGTTAGCTTGGGGTCAATCGTGATCCTAGGTCCCGTGTTACGTAAAGGGGTGGCCTCGGGGAGTGACATATTCTTATGAGATTTATATATTAAAATGTATAACTAGATTCTTACCATTTTGAAGACTATGAATATGTTTATGCTTATGTATATTCTCCATTGGGAGTTGAATTAAGACCGAGTTAGACTAGCAACAATGGTTAGATAACTATGTGCCCCCATCGGTATGTACCAATTGAACATTAGCTAGTGGATACACTTTTGCTCATGATTATGGTCCCTACTTTAGCAAGTAAGATACTCTCTTTACGGTATGGAAGAAGTACACTAAACTTCATGTTATAACTCACATGGTTTATGTCGGTTAACGGTATCTCCCACAAAGCTTTATGACATTCTCAAGGACTTTTGTTATGATTATTTTTTAAAGAATAATGCATGACCTTGTGCTATATTTTTATGAAATCATACAATTAGATTTATATTATGTTACTTGGTCATTGCATTATCATATTTTCATACTTAT